ACATTGTTTTACCTTAACTCAACAATTATTTGTATGAGGTTTGCATTTTCACTCTTCTGCTTTATCTATCATACCATATCTGCTCTAAAGCCCAGACCATGGCTTTAATCTGACCTAACACCCAATTTGTGGTTAAAACTTTTCAGAAGTGAGAGTAAACCTTATCTGCTTTTTTGTAAGGGTTTGCAAAAACACTCATTTCTACATGAAGCTGACATAGACAGTTTTGTTAGTGTGCACATATCTCATATATGTATATTAAACTAGCATCTTGTATTAGTGTATACAAAATGGGTGCCCACTGCCTTGCCAGATGACTCGGTGCCCGCTGTCGAGCCAGATGACCTGATGCCTGGTGACCCGATGCCCGCTGTCGTGCCTGGTGACCCGATGCCCGCTGTTGAGCCAGATGACCTGGTGCCCGCGGTCGAGCAAGACGATGCAATGTCTGATGACCCGATGCCCGCTGTTGTACCTGGCGACCCGATGCCCGCTGTCGAGCCAGATGGCCCGGTGCCCGCCGCTCCATCTGGGGGCCCGGTGCCTGCTGCCCTGCCTGGGGGCCCGGTGCCCGCCGCTCCGCCTGGGGGCCGGTGCCCGCCGCCCTCCGCCTGGGGGCCCGGGTGCCTGCTGCTCCGCCTGGGGGGGGCCCGGTGCCCGCCACTCCGCCTGGGGGCCCGGTGCCCGCCGCTCCGCCTGGGGGCCCGGTGCCCGCCGCCCTGCCTGGTTGCCCGGTGCCTGCCGCCCTGCCTGGTTGCCCGGTGCCTGCCGCCCTGCCTGGTTGCCCGGTGCCTGCCACCCTGCCTCGTTGCGCGGTGCCCGCCGCTCCGCCTGGGGGCCCGGTGCTCGCTGCTCTGCCTGATGGCCCGGTGCCCGCTGCTCTGCCTGGTGGCCCGGTGTCCGCTGCTCTGCCTGGTGGCCCGGTGTCCGCCGCTCCACCTGGTGGCCCGGTGCCCGCCGCTCCGCCTGGTGGCCCGGTGCCCGCCGCTCCGCCTGGTGGCCCGGTGCCCAACGCTCTGCCTGGAGGCCCGGTGCCCGCTGCTCTGCCTGGTTGCCCAGTGCCTGCCGCTCCGCCTGGTTGCGCGGTGCCCCCGCCGCCCTGCCTGGTTGCGCGGTGCCCACTGCTCTGCCTGGTGGCCCGGTGCCCGCTGCTCTGCCTGGTGGCCCGGTGCCCGCTGCTCTGTCTGGTGGCCCGGTGCCCGCTGTCGTGCCAGTTGACTCGGTGCCCACTGTCGTGCCTGATGACTCGATGCCCGCTGTCGAGCCAGACGATCCAATGCCTGATGACCCAGTGCCCGCTGTCATACCTGGTGACCCGATGCCCGCTGTCGTGCCAGTTGACTCAGAGCCAGCTGTCACGCCTGGTGACTCGGTGCCCACTGCCTTGCCAGATGACTCGGTGCCCGCTGTCGAGCCAGATGACCTGATGCCTGGTGACCCGATGCCCGCTGTCGTGCCTGGTGACCCGATGCCCGCTGTTGAGCCAGATGACCTGGTGCCCGCGGTCGAGCAAGACGATGCAATGTCTGATGACCCGATGCCCGCTGTTGTACCTGGCGACCCGATGCCCGCTGTCGAGCCAGATGGCCCGGTGCCCGCCGCTCCATCTGGGGGCCCGGTGCCTGCTGCCCTGCCTGCCTGGGGGCCCGGTGCCCGCCGCTCCGCCTGGGGGCCGGTGCCCGCCACCCTGCCTGGTTGCCTGGTGCCTGCTGCTCTGCCTGGTTGCCTGGTGCCTGCTGCTCTGCCTGGGGGCCCGGTGCCCGCCGCTCCGCCTGGGGGCCCGGTGCCCGCCGCTCCGCTTAGTTGCCCGGTGCCTGCCGCCCTGCCTGGTTGCCCGGTGCCTGCCGCCCTGCCTGGTTGCCCGGTGCCTGCCGCCCTGCCTGGTTGCCCGGTGCCTGCCGCCCTGCCTGGTTGCCCGGTGCCCGCCGCTCCGCCTGATGGCCCGGTGCCCGCCGCTCCGCCTGGTGGCCCCGGTGTCCGCCGCTCTGCCTGGTGGCCCGGTGCGCTGCTCTGTCTGGTGGCCCGGTGCCCGCTGTCGTGCCAGTTGACTCGGTGCCCACTGTCGAGCCAGATGACCTGATGCCTGGTGACCCGATGCCCGCTGTCGTGCCTGGTGACCCGATGCCCGCTGTTGAGCCAGATGACCTGGTGCCCGCGGTCGAGCAAGACGATCCAATGTCTGATGACCCGATGCCCGCTGTTGTACCTGGTGACCCAATGCCCGCTGTCGAGCCAGATGGCCCGGTGCCCGCCGCTCCATCTGGGGGCCCGGTGCCTGCCTCTCCGCCGGGGCCCGGTGCCTGCCTCTCGCCTGGGGGCCCGGTGCCTGCCGCTCCGCCTGGGGGCCCCCGGTGCCTGCCGCTCCGCCTGGGGGCCTGGTTGCCCGGTGCCTGCCGCTCCGCCTGGGGGCCCGGTGCCTGCCGCCCTGCCTGCGCAGTGCCCGCTGCCTGCCTGTTGGCCCGGTGCCGCTGCTCTGCCTGGTGGCCCGGTGCCCGCTGCTCTGCCTGGTGGCCCGTGCCCGCTGTCGTGCCAGTTGACTCGGTGCCCACTGTCGAGCCAGATGACCTGATGCCTGGTGACTTGATGCCCGCTGTGCCTGGTGACCCGATGCCCGCTGTTGATCCAGATGACCTGGTGCCCGCCCGCGGTCGAGCAAGACGATCCAATGTCTGATGACCCGATGCCCCGCTGTTGTACCTGGTGGCCCGATGCCCGTGTCTGCCGCCCGGTGCCTGCCGCTCCGCCTGGGGGCCCGGTGCCTGCCGCTCCGCCTGGGGGCCCGGTGCCTGCCGCTCCGCCTGGGGGCAGGGTGCCTGCCGCTCCGCCTGGGGGCCCGGGCCCGGCCCTTCCTGGGGGCCCGGTGCCTGCCGCTATGCCTGGTGGCCCGGTGCCCGCTGCTGCCTGGTGTGGCCCGGTGCCTGCCGCTCCACCTGGGGGCCCGGTGCCTGCCGCTCCGCCTGGGGGCCCGGTGCCCGCCCTGCCTGGTGGCCCGGTGCCCGCCGCCATGCCTGGTGGCCCGGTGCCCGCCGCTCTGCCTGGTGGCCCGGTGCCCGCCGCTCCGCCTGGTGGCCCGGTGCCCGCCGCTCCGCCTGGTGGCCCGGTGCCCGCCTCTCCGCCTGGGGGCCCGGTGCCCCGCCCTGCCTGGTTGCCTGGTGCCTGCCGCCCTGCCTGGTTGCGCGGTGCCCCGCTCCTGCCTGGGGGGCCCGGTGCCCGCCGCTCTGCCTGGGGGCCCGGTGCCCGCCGCTCTGCCTGGTGCCCGGTGCCCCTGCTCTGCCTGGTGGCCCGGTGCCTGCTGCTCTGCCTGGTGGCCCGGTGCTGCTCTGCCTGGTGGCCCGGTGCCCCGCTGCTCTGCCTGGTGATCCGGCATCCAGCCTGATGTGCCTCCGTCCGGTGCCCAGCCCGAAGTGCCTCCGTCCAGTGCCCAGCCCGAAGTGCCTCCTTCCGGTGCCCAGCCCGAAGTGCCTCCGTCCGGTGCCCAGCCCGAAGTGCCTCCGTCCGGTGCCCAGCCCGAAGTGCCTCCGTCCGGTGCCCAGTCAGATGCTGATGTTAAAGTGAGATGCTGGAAGGGGTGGCGTTTGTCCCTAAGGGAAAGGGTTGACCTAATTAAAACTTCCCCATTTTCTTGTACGTCAGTTTCGTCTGTCTCTTGCCAGAATCTCTCTATACGAGAGTCTACAGCTGTTTTTTCCAGCTATTGTGGGGAAACAGGCTGAACCTTGTGAGGTGGGATGTGACGTACCGATCCAGGCGGGAGGGTGGCCTAGGTATGGTCAACCCAGTTGTTTTCTTCTCTCTGCTGTTTATTAAACATAATATTGGTAGCATGTTAAAAGAGAGACCGCCTGCATGGGTAGGTTTTTTTCCAAGTCTGGTTTAGGCTTTTTCTGAACTGTTGGGAGAGAGGCGGGCCAGTGAGAAGCCTGAGGGTCAAGCACGGTAAGCTCCCGGCTTATGTTGCCCTGTGTTTGAAGATACTTAGGTGGTGGTGTGTGACTGCGGAGGAGGTCCGGTCACTCCCTGGGAGGCTCCTGAGGGAGAGGGTCGTGGCCTCTGCATTCCATGCACCTCTGGCCTTGAAGGATTGCTCAGGCCATATTTTGCTGGAGGGTCTGAGATTGTTAAATATGGAGAGGATTCCTTTAAAGTTTAGGGACCAGGCCTGGCTTGCGTTCCACGGCAGGCTCTACGTGAGGGGAAATTTAAAGTGCCATTCTCTGGATAACCGTGGTTGTCCGAGGACAGAGTGTGGGGGCGAGGTGGAAAGCATGGACCACTTCTTACTTCAACGTCCCTTCAATGTAGAGGTGTATAAAGAGGTGGGGAGGGCTCTGGACATCCCTTTCCTGCACTGCATGTCTTATGCAGAGTGGGTGTATGGGGCATTGGAAAGTCATGCTGGTTTGATTTGGACACACTGTTTCTAGTTTGTCTAGTTGTCCGTTACTACACCTGGAATGCACGGTGTCAGGTTTCCATTCGGCAGAAAGCCCTTCCTGTTCAGTTGGTGGTGTGTGACATCCTTGGTGAGGTTGGGAAAATTCGGGGTCATGAGAAAGACAGGCTGAGGCGAAGGGTCTGGATAAAGGCGTGGAGGAATATCAGGCCTGTAGCGGCAGTCTGTTGATCTCTTGGTGTGGTTGCTGTCCTGCTTTTCTCCTCTTTTTCACCCCCTTAGATTTTGGTTGAAGGTATCTTTTTGAGAATGGTCACGGACACCTGAAGGTCTAGGTTTCTTAGCCTTTGTTGGGTAGTATAGTAAGATTTCTAGTTTTGTTAAAGCCATATAGGCAAATAATTTAATTTGTGTGAGGTTTCCCCTCATAAGGGATATGTTTTTTATGTATGTATGCTGGTAGGCCATATCATGTCCTGGAGATGTATCCAGTTTTTTCTTTGTTTATTTCTGGTAGTTTATGTTATGTTATTTATTTATTTATTTTTTATACTTTTGTAAAAAATATGTTTGCTGGTTGCAAGATCTATTTTTGAATACAAATATTTCCAGCTGTCCTACAAGCTAGAACCCCGGTGTTAATCACTCTTCCACTGTCCACCCCTCCCCCACACCAGACACACCACAAACGGTAGCTTGCCACCACCCAACAGTTTTACTGTCCTGCTGGGCCATCACACACACACAGATCTCCGTCTGTGTGTGTGTGGTATGTGGCAAACCTGTTACCTTTTACAATCTGCATGCAATCTGCCAACACGCAGTGCAATTGCATACAGATAGGCAATGAACTTGACCGAGTATATAAAGACACTGCAATACAATACAATCTAATCTCTCTGGAGATATGAGCCCGAGCTTAGTACACAGAAGTCACTTATTAATTTTATGATTTAATATCCCGAAAGTGGGCAGAGCATAAAACTATGTACAAAGTATAAAAATTTACAGAAAATACAAAAAATACAAGAAGACACACATTGACTATTCACTATAAAATAAAAGGGAATAAAACAGAAATAAAACTTTTACCAAGAGTTATCCTGAGACTGGAGCAAGTCAGAGAAAGTCCACAATCCGTCAGTCAATAGAATTGGCTCCATACGAATCACACCGTCCATATCTCAGGGTCCTCAATTTATGGGAATATGGACGGGGGCTGGACATTAGCACTTTGGCCAGTCAACTCTGGGGGGTGTTCCTGTACCAGCCCACAGGACATTCTGGGTACTGAAATGCCCAATGTCGATTGGACCAGGAACGGTTTGAATCACCAAGTCAGGGATTGAATTTCTGACACCAGCTCATCAGACCGATCGCGACAGTACCAATCACTGTTCAGCTGTCGCAATCAGGTGCAATATAACCATTTTCTGCATTTCTTGAAATATATTCCTTTGATCTGTGTATATTCGTCAAAGCTCCCAGACACATCGGAAACACCTCTGGTCTCTCGCTGTGTCATGACGCCAAACTGTCTGGAGCCTTTTCCTTCCAGATTTCCCAGAAGGTGACAAATCTTATTGGCATCTAGGTATCACCTCCAGTCCAGAGGATGCTCTGTCCTTTTCAGATGCTAATTGGTGACCATATGTCCCTGACTTAATTCTGAACACATCCTATATTATTATAACATAAACTGAAGCTAAACCTACATTGTCATATTTCTACAGGTCACATTTCAGCTACTCAAATCTTACATGTACGTTACAACCAGTGATCAATATCTGTCACAGTGTACCAATCTCAAATCCACATCTGTACCAGTGAACATCAAAATGTCTAAAAAATTATACACCAGCGAGGAGGCTTTCCAGGTACTGAGTATGACGGACGAGAGTAGCAGGGAACTCTCTCTGTCAGACTCAGATTCTGAGTATGAGCCAGTTGAAAGCAGTTGTCAAGAATCCGGGGTCCGCCGCAGTGCGCGAATTACCTAGGCGCAGCAACATGCGGGCGCTAGGACCTAGGCGCCCGCGGCAACAATTGCGACCATGCATGCGCACACGGGCGCGCGCCGGGCACCAATGACAGCGCAGGGCGCACTATTTAAACGGACCCTGGCAATGCTCACATTGCCATTTGGTCTTATTCCTGCTGTACCTGTTCCTAGTTCCTGAGATTGCATTTGTTGCCAACCCTGCCTGACCCGGATTGCCGTGACTTTTGTCTGCCCTGATCCCTGGCTTGTCTGACCATTCTTCTGCCTTCTCCTGTTTACCTGACCTCCTGTTGCTGAACCTGGCCCGTGACCCGTTTATCCTTTTGTCTGCCGTTCTGTACCGTCCGCCTCCACTGTTACTGACCTGGCCTGTTTGATTATGCTACGCACCACCTCTTCACATCTGGCTCTCACCTGCTACTTGCCACTGGCAACTACCTCTACAACAGCTGGTTGTACTCGGGGGCCGCGACCTGGTCTCAGGCTGCTTCAAGTCCATCCCCACCATCAGGGGCTCTGGTGAAACAGCAGACTGAGGCTTAGACTCCGCTCCGTGAGGAATTCCGGCCTGTGGGTCGCTAGAGGCTACCGCCGTTCGGCTCCTGACAGAACCAAACGGCCATGACTGAGCCAGGAAGAGGTCCCTCCTCCTTGGATGAGATATGCCAACACCTGGCGGCACTCACCCAAGCTGTCAAGACACTTCAAGAAGGGTATACACATCTGGAGGGACGTATTCAGACCCTAGCCAGGCCGGCAGTCACACCACCAGCCCCGGTTAATCCGCCTCGTGCCAGGGGCCCCGCAGAACCTCCCGCTGGAGCAGTGTTCGCCATACCACCGCCAGAACCTCGAGTGCCAACGCCCGAGCGTTTCAGTGGGGATTGAGGGAAGTTCAGGGCCTTCCAGAATTCCTCCCTGTTATATTTTGATCTACAGCCACGGACGTTTTCGTCAGAATCTGTAAAGGTGGGGTTTGTCATATCCCTACTGCAGGCGGAACCTCAAGGCTGGGCCCACCGTCTGCTGGAAGATCGCCATTCGCACCTAGACTCAGTCTCCTCATTTTTCAGCCTCCTCATTTTTATATGACGACCCGCAATGAGCCGCTTCTGCTGAGGCGGCTCTGCATAATCTGCAACAAGGCCACTGGGCAGCAGAGGATTATGCGTCCGAATTCAGGCGCTGGAGTGGAGACACTCAGTGGAATGACGCAGCCCTGCATCACCAATTTCGTTTAGGCCTGTCCGACCCACTTAAGGACGAGCTAGCCAGAGTGGGCATACCCGACTCTCTGGAAGATTTGATCACCGTGGCCATTCAAATCGACCGCAGGCTACGGGAACGTAGACGAGAAAGGTCCAATCCTAGTCCCAGATTGACATGGGTGCTACCTTGGGTTCCGCTCCAGCCTAACTCCCCAGTTGGTAGTCTAAGTCCAGAGCCATCTGATGGGCCTGAACTTATGCAAATCAGACTGATGCGACCCTCTCTGACTTTTGAAGAACGCCAGAGGTGTCGGCTGAACAACCTATGCCTATACTGTGGAGCAGCTGGTCATATAGTACGCTCTTGCCCTGAGAAGATGAGTAAGTGTGCATCTGTCGCTTCTGCTGTATCTCCTACTTGCCTGAATAACGCAACTCACCTAGCTGTGCTTATCTCTTTCCAGCTCCGCGGAAGAACCGTACCAGTGACGGCCATTATTGATTCGGGAGCCTGCAGTTGCTTTATAGATCTTGGCTTTGCGGCTCATCTGCGGATTCCCTTACAGACTAAAGAGCAAGGCTTGAATATCTTCTTGGCCGATGGGTCTCGGATAAAGTCATGGTTGGTAGAACGAGAGACCCCTCCAATCTGCACTACAGTGGCTGGCCATCATCAGGAACTCCTCCGCTTGGACGCCATCGCGTCCCCACTCTTCCCAGTCATTTTGGGGCTTCCCTGGTTACGAGCCCATGACCCGCACATTAACTGGAAGACTGGGTCAGTTCAGTTCTTCTTATTGCTGAGAGCACTGTTGCCTCAGGACACCGGCAGCCACCCAGACCCTAAACTGCGTGAACACAGACAAAGAGTTAGCTCAAACAATTCCTTTAGCCTACCATCCCTACCTTGACGTATTTAGCCCACAGGGAGCAGACATCCTTCCCCCGCATCAGGCATATGACTGTCCAATTGATCTTCTTCCAGGGTCTGAGATCCCTTTCGGCCGAATTTTTCCCTTGTCAGAGTGGGAGTTGGGGGCATTGAAGGAATACATTGACGAGAGCCTCCAAAAGGGATTCATCCGCCCTTCCATGTCACCGGCTGGAGCCAGAATCTTTTTCATAGAAAAAAGACAAGTCCCTGAGACCCTGTGTTGACTATCAGGAGCTGAACAAAATTCCAGTTAAAAACCACTATCCTCTTCCTCTAGTCCCTGAATTTTTCCAGAGATTGAAGGCAGCAGCTATTTTTACCAAGTTGGATCTCGGGCGCTTATAACTTGGTCCATATACGTGAAGGGGATGAGTGGAAGACTGCTTTCCGCACCCGGTTCGGGCACTTTGAGTACCTGGTTATGCCATTCGGGTTGTGCAATGCACCAGCCACTTTTCAGCATTTTGTAAATTATATTTTCAAAGATTATCTGGACATCTTTGTTGTGGTCTATCCTGACGATATTCTGATTTTTTTTTTTTCTCCATCCTTGGAGGCACATCGAGGTCACGTCAGGAGCGTGCTGGAGCGACTTCGCCAGCACGGGCTTTATGCCAAGGCAGAGAAGTGCAGCTTCGAACAACACAGCATCCAGTTCCTTAGGCTAATTATTTCCACCACAGGAATTGCCATGGATCCCCAAAAGATTTCCGCAATTCTGGAATGGCCAGTACCCTCAGATAAAAAAGGTGTTCAGCGGTTTATTGGCTTCGCAAATTTCTACTGAAAGTTCATGAAGAATTTCTCAGGCCTGGTATATCTCCCATCACCCAACTTACAAAACTGGGGGTACGTTTTCATTGGACACCTGAGGCGCAGATCACTTTCGAGACCCTGAAGAAGTTTGTGCACGGCAGCCCCTATTTTAAGTCACCCGGATGCATCCCTGCCATACATATTAGAGGTAGATGCGTCTGAGAACGCAGTGGGAGCCGTTCTATTGCAAAGAAAAGGCATAAAGGAACTCATGCACCCAGTAGCCTTCTTTTCTAGGAAGCTCACTTCGGTGGAGAGGAACTACGACATTGGGGACCGGGAGCTTTTGGCAATTTAAAACAGCACTGGAAGAGTGGAGATACTTGTTGGAAGGGGCCCTACACCCAATCCTGGTCTACACAGACCACAAGAACTTAGAGTACCTGAGGACGGCTAAGCGCCTTAGACCATGGCAGGCCAGATGGGCGTTTGAAGGAAATTAATCAAATTTATGATTCGGCACTTATATCAATGGCAAGCTTGCAAAATATTTTGTTTTTATGATTAATCATAATTAATATTAAAATGTGTGAATTGTCACCTTAAACCGATGATATTATTTAATTCTTCAGTAAAATAGCTGAGACAGAAAGATATGAGTTAGTTAAGCTGAGATCAGCTAACCAGCTGAAGACTATATTTAGGTGTAGCTGGTCAGAAATCTCTTGTAAATGTCAAAGGTATTAGGATTGACTCATTAAAGACTTACTATTACATTATGTATTTTTAATAGTATCTGTGTGTATTTAGTATGTTTCTAACATTGATACATATATAGATTAGTGATTATACATTGATATGTTGTAAAGATACGTTCTTAAGTTATATTATCATATGAATAGCTGAGGTTACATCATCAGCTTACAGTATCATGTATATCAGCATCTGTACCTGTCCATCAAACATCAAATATATAGCGTCCACTCTCTTCTATGGAATTGCTTTGCTAAGCA